CATCCTTCAATAATTCCCTACATTTATATATATTTGTCCCTCCCTTTTCATTCCCTATCACTACTGTCTTTCGCTAACATTTTTGATTTTTGATTACAGCACTACCAAACCTCTCACTTACAGTAAGACTTTTCATTTCACGACTACATTCCTGACTGTTAAGATCAAGACTATCAATTGTTTCAAAATGTGCAAACTTACTTCCGATGTCTTTTCAGCAGTGGTGTCATAGGCATCTTTGGCAGTACCAGTCACCCAACCTGCGCCCTGAAAAACCCTTTCTAGCTATTATTAAGACTTGAAGGCATAGAATTCATTTAGATTACCTCAGAAACTTTTTCGGCAGTTGTGTCATAAGCACTTTTGGCAGCACCAGTTACCCAGTCAGCTCCCTAGAAAGTTATTACTCTCTAAATCTCTTTTTTCGTTGAGGTAAGAGATTTTGAAATTTCTTAGAATATCCATAGTTTCAAAACTAACCAACTCCAGATAAAAAAAAATTAGTTTTCCACAAACCAAACAGTGTAGATTTTCACTAATTAAAAGGGAAATTAAATTGTACCTCTGCTGTCTTCTCGGCAGCGGTGTCGTAGGTGCCCTTGGCAGCGTCAGCTACCCAATGGCCTCCCTAAATAACATTTTGATGATCTTTCGTACTTAATCAGGAAGAAATTTATGCTTAAATCTGTGAATATTCTGTCAGTAGAATTTTCATTCCCAGTCGGTTTTTAACTGGAAATTTATTCTGCAGAAAATAGCATAGAATAAATCAATTTCCTTAGGATGTGGATATGTCATCTGATATATAAATTCAATCTTACCTCCGCTGTCTTCTCGGCAGCGGTATCGTAGGCGCTCTTGGCAGTGTCTGCAACCCAATGACCTCCCTAAACACTATTTTGATGATCTCTCGTGCTTAATGCTCAATTCTACAATATTCTGACAAATATATAGTTTCACATATTCATTAGTACAATTTTCATTTAAATCGTTCTCTATTTGGAAATTTATTCTGCGGGGATTCGTAGCACAGAATAAATCAATTTCCTTAGGATATGCATGTGTCATCAATAAAATATAAATTCATTTCTTACCTCCGCTGTCTTGTCAGCAGCGGTGTCGTATGCGCTCTTAGCAGTGTCGGCAGCAGTATCGTAGGCGCTCTTGGCACTGTCTGCAACCCACTGACCTCCCTAAAAACTATTTCGATAACCTCTCGTGCTTAATCAAGAATATTTATGCCTGACAAACATATAATTAACAGTTTTCATACTTCTTTCTCTATTTTTGGAATTTAGACAGAAAAATCATTAGCATAGAATAAATCGATTTCCTTAGGATGTGAAATCGTCATCTGGAAAATATAAATTCATATCTTACCTCCGCTGTCTTCTCGGCAGCAACATCATAGGTGCCTTTGGCGGAGTC